GCCCGGTGCTTCACGTGGCCCGCGAGCCCCGCCACCACCTACCGCGAGGCCAGTCGGAAGGGGGCTGAGTCCGAAGAGTCCTGGGAGAAAATATAACGTTAATCATCCCGGTGGCCAATCGGGTCATGCCACTCACCTGCTGAGCACCTTCGATGGCTCCCCGGGGCCCGCCGGCGAAAATCCCAATGCCTCCCATTGACATTGTAAACCCTTCACGGTACACACCCTTGGCTGCTCAGTGAGATGCGCTGTGCCTCCTCCCTCTCTGGTTCTCTAGCCCCTAAAACGCTTTCTTGGGTAATTCTGCTGTCCTTTTAAGTTCTTCCTCCTAAAAATCCAATCGATCGCTTCCCCTTTCCCCTAAGCGTTAGAAATTTCCAAAAGTTTTGAATGAAGGGAATTAAAGTACCTTTAGCAATCTAGCTTGTCAAATTCGCAATCACCCATCGGTGGTAGTGAATCAGAGGTCCCTGGTGGCGTAAGTTGCTGCGAACCTAACTAAGATGGGTGGTGGGAACCCACCCAGCACAGCTGCTAAGTAAAGGCCTGGCTACTTCCATACAAATTCCAAAGCAAACCAAACTCACAGCACTGAGGTTCATTCTGATTCTCTAGCGATCCTGTAGGACCTGGTAAAAATGCCCCAAAGGGTTTCCAAGGCTATAAATCATGCACAGCGATTGGTTCACTTCTCTGAGTTATCGGCCTGGTGCTTAACCACTGGTGCACCAAGGCTCTGTAAAAATAGCCACAGCCAAGAAAATCCCATGGCGCTGTTCTGCTCTGCCACACCCAGGGTCTCCAGGAGTCTGCATAGATTCAAAGGCAGAGGAATCGGTTAATTAGCAGAACTTAATTGTTTTTTTAACCTGTTTGGTGAATATCACAACAGAAAGGTCGACCCAGAACAATGACCAATGATCCTTTCCTTTCTGAGAATGGGGATCCACCTCTTTTTAAAAGCAAACTATAAATCCCAGCCTCTCATTTTAAGAATCCTTTGCCCCCAAAGAGGCATGATGATGAAGAGCTATTACAACGTAGGAAAGGATCCTGGTTGCGCAGTGGCCAAGCGCTTAGCCAATAACTGAAAGGTTATCAAATCTTGGGTGACTGCCAGCGATCCATGAATCCTACAGGCTGGCCCTGAAAATGGACTCGTTGCCACATAGCACTGTGAGAAATCTGTTACACGGGTTTCTTTTCTCACCACCCTCTTACATTTGTGAAATGGCAGGACATAGGTTTGTAAGCCACACTTAGGTTGTTACTGGGCACCGCCAACTTTCAGTGAGCCCAGGGGCAGAGTAGGACAACCTCAGGCTGTCCTCTACAAAAGCAGCAGTGATCCGTGCGTGCTTCTTTCCATGAAGTGGCTGGTGGTTTGAACTATGGGCCTTTGGGTTAGCAACCAAGAGCTTAACCACTGCGCTACCAAGGCTCTTTAGTTCATCTGCAGACAAGGCTAATGCCTAGGAGAACAGGGTTATGGACTCTAATGGCAGAAAAGAGACACTCAGAGGCAGAAGTAAGTAGAGTCCAGCATTGTCCAGGGGAAGGCCCTTGGTTGTAGGAGTTCTAGAGGGGGCGGGGGAATGGGTGCATCAGGCTAAGCATTCAGTATGGTTTATGGTGACATTTAAATAGTACCTACTGCCTTTGGTTCCCATTCATGTGCACTAAGCAACTTTATGACAATAATTTAGCTTCCCAACAACTTAAAAGTCCAGGGCCTATTTAAGAACCCTTTTCAGGGAAATGGGTCACAGACTCTAATCATTGGTGTACCATGTGGGTTGCCTCTCATGGTTTCTACTTTGAAGACCTTAATCATTGGGAGATCACTCTGCAGTCATTTGATTTACTTTCTGGATTTGCTTCATATGATGGAAAAACCATACATATATATGATATGTGTATATATCCACTCATATAAACTATGAGCCCTGCATGTGCAGTGGTTAAGTACTCAACTGCTAACCCACTTGTCTCCCCACTGGTGAAAGATGGGGCACTCTGCTTCCATATATATTACAGCCTTGAAAACAAAGGGCATTATCTACCCTCTGTCCTATCAGATCTCTGTAACTGTGTCTTAGATTAAGGCTGAATATAGTAACTAGCAACTGCTACCCACCCCACCCCTGACTGTTCCCAGAGCAATACTATTACTTTTGCTCACCCTCCCTTCCAGAGAGATCTGGATATATGAAACTATGCATGTACAGCTCCCCTTGTATCACTTTGTGCACAATGTAGCATTTCACTTGCTCTGTTCTGCATCCCGGCTTTTGTATCACAATCTGCTCTAATGATAATCCCGACAGAGCATCCAAGCCAAGAGCATCCAGAGCGTCCACTGCCTGTGTCATCTGCCACTAGATCGAATGGGCTGGGAGTCAGGGGTCAAGGCTCGGAGTCTTGGTTCTTGCTCAGCTGCTACTTAGCAGGGTGACCTTTGGCTAGTCATTTCCTTCCTCGGGGACTCAGGTTCTTATCTACAAAATGAACTGGAGGATGACTGAGGTGGTTTGACTTTAACCTTTTGAGGTTCTTCAATGTTGCCACACACGTTGTAAAATTATCTGCAGGGAAAGAAGTCTAAATACTTCCCATAAATCCCTAATTAGCATCATCTCAAGCTGGTTTCTCAGACCAATATTGCTGTAAATAAGGACGACTCAGCACACACTGGGGACAGCTAGAGGGTGGATAGAGCTGGGGTGGTGGTGGCCGGGGGTTCCTCGTCTCTCTGCTCCATGAGGGAGAAGAGAAGGGCTCTGGCAAGAGCAGAAATGAAATTTTCTTTCTTTCACCTTCACCTCACATAAAATGGTTCTGGTTAACGTCTGGAATTAATTATCCCTTGGTCATTTTGTAAATGATGTGGTGTGTGACATTTAGGTGAAGGTATAAATATTTTTCACAATGAAACTCAGAACAGTCAAATTCAAGAAAGTATGCGGATCCCTGACCACCTTTCTCCAGGGATTCCCCGGGGCCTCCTTTGTGAATGAAAAGCTTAGGAATCAGAGTTGGAGGCACCTCACTGAGGGAAGGAGGGGCTATGAGCTTTGATGAGAACATTTCCATTAAGATAGCAGATGGGATGAGATAGAGTATCCTGTTTTCAAAGACTTGGCAGCTGTAAAACGTCATGTCTGAGGCAACCTAAGGGCAAATTTTTGAGAACTCGCACAGAAGTCCACCCACCGCCTTCATCCCAACATGGTAGCTTTTCCATTTCTTCCCCTTTCCCTGTGAACTTACACTTTAGTCTTATGAGAGGCAACAGCCTTTGGTTTCCACGTGAGTATCTCTGCCATAGTACTGCATCAGAACCGACATCAAACACACGAGCCTCACTTTAGTAATGACATATTCTATAAGACAGGTAGGTCTCTTAACAAGGCATGAGAATTACCAATGGGTTGTGCTGAAAATAACACATGCTCTGGAGCGGCACCCCTGTGGTCCAGATCCAGTAGATCTCTGGCATCATCTGCGTTTTCAACAAGGCTCCCCAGGTGATTCTGATGCGATGGGGTGAGGCCCACAATTTGGGAAACACTGGCTTTAGGGAGCGAGGTCCAAATGGCTTATTTCCCAGATGATGGCCACCTAAGACAGCGACCTAAGATAGGTAGACTGCCCTAACTGTCCTCCTTGAGAGACCTCTGGCAAGAAGGGCATCCAGATTCATCCTTGAAGATCCAGACGGAGTCTCCATGGTGCATAACTCTTTTAGTGGACTGACAACAGGGCTCAGGGTTTGGCTGGCCCAGAGGATAAGCAGCGAACTCCCCAAGTACCAGGAAAAGTACTGGCTGCTTCTGGTCTGACCCCAAAGTACAATCTTTTCCTTTCTGCTTTTCACTGATGTCGGGCTAAGGAAGCCAAATAGACCCACACAGATAATATGTTGTTGGGGTATGGGTGAATGTATACAGCTAGAGCAAATTCCGTCTGGGGAAATTCAGAAGCGTGAATCCCAGTTTGATATACCGCATCAACAACCGACTGGATATCAGTGTACGGCATCTGGAGGGGAAATCCTGTGACCTGGAGAAAAACAGAAAGACACAACCCTTTGTGACAATCAGGACCAGGACCTGGAATGACTGCTGTGTGTCAGATCACAGCAGCCCCAAAGCAAGGATGATCATAAAGCACTTATAACCAACATTTTGGGAGTGCTGCCCATGCCCTAAATACAGTGCTAAAAGCTTCACAGACATATTTAATCCTCAAACAGCCTGAAGAAGGACCAAAATCAAAAACCAAACTCACTGCATCAAGTCAATTCTGACTCACGGGGACCTCATCCAGGGCAGCACTGCTCCTGTGAGTTTCCAAGGCTGGAAATCTTTACTGGAGCAGAAAGCCTCATCGTTTCTCTTGTGGTGCAGCTGGTGGGTTTGAACTGCTGGCCTTGTGGTTAGCAGCCCAGCTGTTATATGCCTACTTTGAATGAAGAGGAGCAGAGCCAAATCTATCAGACACCAGAACCTGCATGCTTAACATTCCATAGACTTGCACTCTTTCTAGAATAGCCAGGCACCTAAGAAGGCATAACCCTTTCCTAAAAATGAGATACTTAAGTCAGAAACCTGGAAGAATTCAATCACTATTGATTTAACTTACACTTATTAAGTAAATGTGGCAGGATTAGAGACTTGTAGAAAGTGGTACCATGTTAAGTTAGGCGACTATTTAATGAGGCAGACTTGACTGTCATAATCTTTTTCAGGCTGTCGATTACTAATTTCTGGAGGCTTTTCCTGACTCTCAAATCTGCCCACATTCATATCCTGTTACCATGTGATTACAAATCTGCTGTTCTTCCCTCACAAAGTAACCATGTAACAAACTATATTGCTGGTTGCCTGTTTTGGGATCTATCTAAATAGCCCAGAGTGATGGGAGTAATGATTCCCTGAGGTGCGGAAAGAGGGGACAAGAGGGTGAGGGGAGCTGGTAGCAATGAAGACCGTACAGCCCCACTCGAGGGGAAAGAACAACAGAATTTCAGGTGAATGACACCTTGGATGATGTAAGAAATGGCAAATAATAATAATACTATATCATAAGGGTTCCTAGGGGGTAGGGTGAGCGAGAGAGGGGATAAAGGGGAGCTGATATCAAAGAGTTCAAGAAGAAAGATTATGTTTTGAAACTGATGGTGGTAACAATTGTAAAATTATGCTTGATCTAACTAAATTATGGATTGTTATACTATCTTTAAGAGCTCCCAGTAAAATGATTAATAATAATAATAATAAAAAGAACATAACAGAGACAGATACTTTTCCCTAAAAAGTATCCCAGAACGAAGCTAAATAACTATCAGTCAAAATGAAATCCACATTTGGCTATGATAAAACATTTTTTCCTTTAAAAAACAAAAACAAACTATATATATATATATATATATATATATATACACACACACACACACACACACACATAGACCTATATCTTATCATTACATATTAATATATTTACATATTTACATGCCTATATTTATACCTCTATAAATGTCTTGCCTCCTAGTTCTTTCCTCTATTTCCTTTTACTTTCCTCCTGTCCCACTATCATGTTCGACCTTCATTCAGCTCTCAGTAATTCCTCTCTAGCTGCATTGCACTTGATCAAACCCTACCAGGCATTCGGCTCCCTCCTCACTATTGATTTGAGATCTCTGTTGTTCCCTTGTCCCTAGATTTGTTGGCTTCCCCCTCTTCTTTCCCCTACCTCCTCTTCTCCCATGTCCCCCATCCCCCATCCCACTCTGGAGCCATCAGTCCTGTTGTTTTCTCCTCTGGATTGTTTATCCTGCCTTATATGGATAGACATGAGGGGAAAAAAGCCTATAAGTAGTTCCAGGTCTGCATGGGAAGAACTGGAGGAAATCATGCTAAGCAAAGTAAGCCAAGCACAAAAGAACATGTACAACAAGTCTGCTGAGGTAAGCTTAAAAATGCAAAAGGGCATAGGGAAAAAGCTACTGTATACAAACATTCCTGGGGTGAGGTCCATGTAGTATGGCAGGGGTGAGACCCAATCCAGGGATACATACGGTAGCCAACTGAAAAGGAGGGGGTAAAAAGACATGGGTAGTGGGGGAACCGGGCACTAACCCACCCCAGGAGAGGGTGTTGCTTATATCTCCACAGGGAAAGAGGGACCAGACTTCAACCCGGTACTCCGAGAAATAAATGCAACATGCCGGCATGGAGTAGGGAACCAATAGAGAGGTCTGAGGGGCTGGCCCCAATCCCAACTACATGGACAGCCCCCTCTCCCCCTAAAAAATTCACTTCAGAGGACAGCACTGAAGCTACAGCTCAGGGAGAGGGACATGTCTGATCAGAGCCTACAGGAGGGAGGGAGAGAGAGTGGAGCGCATCCTGGCCCACCAAGCCCTGAGGATGATATTCCTGCTCAGAGCAGCCAATGCACAAAGGACCATATGGCCGGCCCCACTACAAGACAGGACGTCCCTCACTGACTCATCGCGCTATGGGGGACAACACTGGAGACATAGTGTGGGAATTGTACCCGATCTGACCCCACCACACTGAGGTGAAACACTAAGGAACAGAACAGCAAGGGGAACAGAGCAAGGAAGTCCCCAGGGAATACCAAAAATAGACTTTGTGGCCAGGGGGTGGCACCTCATCAGGCTTGACCAGAAAATCCTCCTAAAGGTCAACAAACAGACCTGGAACTATTTATAGACTTTTCTTTGTCATTGTTGTTGTTTTGTTTTCCTCTGTCTTGTTTTTGTGCAGATTATTATCTCTGAATGTTTAACTAGATAAGATAGGGGGGATAAATAATCTGGAGGAGAAAACAACGGGACCAATGATTCGGAGGGGGACATGGGAGAAGGGGAGGTGGTGGAGAAAGGAAGTGGGTGTTAACAAACCCAGGGACAAGGGAACAAGTGATCTATAATCGATGGTGAGGAGAGTGTAAGAGGCCTAGTAGGGCTTGATCAAGGGCAATGTAACTAAGAGGAATTATTGAAATCCAAATAAAGACTGAACATGATAGTGGAATAAGAAGAAAGTAAAAGGAAATAGAGGAAAGAACGAGGAGGCAAAGGGTCTTTATAGAGGTCTAAACACAGGCATGTATATATGTAAATATATTTATATATGATGATGGGGAAATAGATCTATGTGCATATATTTATAGGGTAGTATTAAGGCAGCAGTTGGATATTGGGCCTCCACTCAAGTACTCCCTCAATGCAAGAACACTTTGTTCTATTAACCTGGAATTCCATGATGCTCACCTTCCTGACATGATTGCTAGTCAATAAGGGTGCATAAGAAAATGTGAAGAAAGCTGATGATGCCTGGCTATAAAAAGATATAGCATCTTGGGTCTTAAAAGCTTGAAGATAAACAGGTGGCATTCTAGCTGAGAAGCCCACATGGAAGAAGAACACCAGCCTATGTGATCACAAGGTATTGATAGGATCAGGTATCAGGCATCAAAGACCCAGAACAAAAAGTCATATCACTGTGAATGAAGGGAAGTACGGAATGGAGACCTAAAGCCCATCTGCAGACAATTGGGCATCCCCTTACAGAAGGGTCTCGGGGAACAGATGAGCCAGTCAGGGTGCAGTATAGCACCTATGAAACTTACAACTTTCCTCTAGTTCTTTAATGCTTCCTCCTCCCCCACTATCGTGACCCCAATTCTACCTTATAAATCCAGCTAGACCAGAGCATGTACACTGGTACAGATAAGAGCTGGAAACACAGGGAATCCAGGACAGATAAACACCCCAGAACCAATATTGTGAGTAGCCATACCAGGAGGGTAAGGAGAAGGTAGGAGGATAAAGGGGGAACCAATCACAATGATTTACCTATAACCCCCTCCCCGGGGGATGGATAACATGGGTGAAGGGAGACATCGGTCAGTGTAAGACATGAAAAAAATGTGTAAGTTATCAAGGGTTCATGAGGGAGGGAGGAGGAGGGGAAAATGAGAGGCTGATACCAAGGGCTCAAGTATAAAGAAAATGTTTTGAAAATGATGATGGCAACGAATGTACAGATGTGCTTGACACAATGGATGGATGTATGGATTGTGGTAAGAGTTGTATGATACCCCAATAAAATGACTTAAAAAATAAAAATCAAAGACTTCAGCGTTTGATTTTCAAAGTATTGGTTGGGACTCGATGTAAAGAAAACAAAAGCCTCACAACAGGACCAATAAATAGAGATACAATTGACAAAGTTCCAGGTCTGTCTGCTGACCCTTATGAACATTTTCCAATTGGGTCTGATGAGGTGCCAAGCCCTGCCCACTGAGTCTGAAGTCCATTGTTGGTATTCTTTGGGGACTTCCTTGCTTTGCTCCCCTTGCTGCTCTGTCGCACTCCCTTCGTGTTTTGGACCAGTGGAGGAAGGAGGGTCAGACCGGGCACGATTCCTGCACTGTGTCTCCAGTGCCGTCCCATAGTGCTGTGGGTCAGTGAGGGACGTCATATCTCCTGGTGGGGCCCGCCCTATGATCTTCTCTGAGCCTTGGCTGCTCTGAAAAGGAATGTCCTTGAGGCTCGGTGGGCCAGGATGCGGTTCACTCTCTCTTGCTCTCTCGTTCGCTCCCTTGTAGTTTGCTCCCTCGTTGTCTGGGCAGACCCACCACTCTGCCCCACCCTCACCCCCATCCCCCACCCCGTTAGTTTGCTGCTTCATACTGTATGTTGCCCTGAAGGCTTGGTGTCCCAGCTTGAGGTCTGGTCCCTCTCTCCCTTTCCTGTGGAGACATGAATAATACCCTCCCCTTGTGTCAGTCCCTTCACAATCCATGTCCTCCCCTGTCCCTTCACTATCCATGTCCTCCTTTTCTTTTCCTTTCCCCTCCTTTTCAGTTGGCTGCCACATGTATCCCTCAGTTGGATCTGATCCCTTCCAGAGTGCCTGGACTTGCCCCAGGAATTTATACATCAGGTGGCTTTTCCCCTATGCCCCTTGTGCTTTTTAAGCTTACCTCAGTGGACTCATGTTATACGTGGCCTTTTGTGCTTGTCTTACTCCGCTTAGCATAATTTCCTCCAACTCTTCCAGTGAGACTATGTGCTTCATACATTCAGCACTGCTTTTCATGGATGCGTAGTACTCCATTATATGTATATATCAGAGTTTTTAAAATCCATTTGTCGGGTGATGGAAATTTAGATTGTTTCCAATTCTTTGCGATTATGAACTGCACCACGATGAACAATAGGGCACAGATGTTTGGTTGTGGTCTGTTTCTTACTTCTTCTGGGTATATGTCTAGTAGGGAGATTGCTGAGTCAAATGTTAACTTGATTTCCATTTGTTTTAGGTATCATCAAATCAATTTCCATATTAAAAAGTTAGTATTAAGGTTGCAGATGGACATTGGGCCTCTACTCAAGTACTCCATCAATGCAAGAACACTTTGTTCTAATAAACTGGCATTCTGTGATACTCACTTTCCTGACACGATCGCTGAAGACAAAATGGGTGCATAAGCAAATGTGGTGAAGAAAGCTGATGGTGCCTGGCTATCAAAAAGATACAAGGTCTGGAGTCTTAAAGGCTTGAAGTTAAACAAGTGGCCATCTCGCAGGGAAGCAATAAAGCCCACTTGGAAGAAGCACGCCAACCTGTGTGATCATGAGGTATCTATGGGATCAGGTATCAGGCATCAAAGACCCCCAAACAAACAATCATATTGATGCAAATGATGGGGGCCAGAGTGGAATCTAAAAACCATCTGTAGATAATTGGACATTTCCTGGCAGAAGGGTCACAAGGAAGGAACAAGTCAACCAAGGTGCAGTACAGCACTGGCAGAACACACAACATCCCTCTAGTTATTTAATGCTTCCTTCCCCCCACTATCATGACCCCAGTTCTGCTTTACAAATTCGACTAGACTGGAGCAGGTACACTGGTACAGATAAGGGCTCTTGGCACATGGAATCCAGGACAGATAAAGCCCTCAGGAGCAGTAATAAGAACAGTGATACCAGGAGGGTTGGGGGAAGGTAGGGAGATCAGGGGGAGAAAGGGCAACCAATCGCAATGATGGTGTATTACACCCCCAGGGGGATGAACAACAGAAGCATGGGTCAAGGGAGACAATGAAAGTTGTAAGAAATTAAAATAATAGTTTATCATTTATCAAGGGATCACGAGGATGAGGGGGGTCAGGAAAAAGGATCTGCTACCAAGGGCTCAAGCAGAAAGAAAATGTTTTGAAAATGATGATGGCAATCTACGGACAAGTGTGCTTGATACCATTGATGTATGGATTGTTATAAGATCTGTAAGAGCCCCAAATAAGATGATTTATTTTTAAAAAAGGAAATGCAATTAAAAATAGCTCATAATCTCTATGACTGTAAGGGATTGCATTTGTCTTGTTCACTGTAATAAGGTGACCATATTTTAACATTGGTAAAGCGGGACAAAAGCGGGACACCATTGATAAAACTCATATCCTGGTGAAACAGTCACATGGCAGCTGAAAACCGTATACCCTAGCTTGTCGTGCATTCTTTGTAAAAATCGGGACTTTTTTAAAATGCCGCAGGATGCGGGGGGAAAAATTGTTAAAAATCGGGACTGTCCCGCTAAAAGCGGGACGTCTGGTCACCTTACTCTAATAACTCCAGTACCTAGTGGTGCAGTGCCTGGCTGTAGAAAAAGAACAAAGTGATAGTTAACATTATTAAACACTTATAAGGTTGGATATTATTATGTGTATTGATTCAGTTAGTCCTCACTACAGCCGCCAAACAGAACTATTGGGTGCTGGTTTATTGGACGGGACAGAAGGCATCCAGATGCTAGGTAATTTGCCGTCAGTGAAAGCTTGTAAGTGGTTGAGTCAGGATTTGGACCTAGATTGTAGGGTTCAGTCAAGGTTTATGACAGCCCACTGTTTATTATTAAGTAGATAAGTTTACATAGAAGCTACATGCTTTATACCTTAACAATGCTTTGCTTCTCTGCTGACCCTTTAACTACTAAAATTAAAATAAGACATAAACCAAATAACTTCCTCCCTATTCATGAGCAGGGTCTGCAGATCCCTCCCGGGGAGCCCAAGGACTAGTTAGTACCTGCAGTCCCTCAACTTCCATAAGATCCTTTCTTCTCAGAACGTTTCCTGAGGAGGCACTTTCTTTGTCTATTGCTGGTCAGGAGTCTCACTCTCAGAGAGCTGTGGGTTTACTGGGAGGAGGAAGGGGTGAGGATGTTGACAGCTGGGCCTGGGGTAGAGGAAGGAAAGGACCCTGAGAATAACTAACTGCTCACCGTGTGTGGTTAATCATCCAAGGAAATGTCAGAACAGGTGAATGTATACGATTGAAAGTCAAGGACAGATTCCGCTGCATGTATAGATTTGGGAGCAATCAGCGTAGAGAACATAGTAAAGCTTGCTTGGGTCCTCTTGTCCAGACCCAAGATCAGTGAAGGCTAATCTATTGCTAACACCTGGGAGCCATTTCTTGGTTTCTTAGGTACAGGGTGGTTTCCTTCTGGGCATCTCTTTCCCAAGTTCATTGTTCTCCCACCAATATGAGATTGGTTTCAAGAGATGCCATCCCTTGTCTTGTTCACAGGTCTAGGGGAAATCAAGATGCTTTAATACCCAAACACCTTTCGTCTAGGGCAGTGTTCTCAACCTGTGGGTCATGACCCTTTTGGGGGTCAAACCACCTTTTTACAGGGGTCACCCAATTCAAAACAGTAGCAAAATTACAGTTATGAAGTAGCAACAAAAATAGTTTCATGGTTGTTGCCGTCGCCACAACATGAGGAGCTGTATTAAAGGGCCGCGGCATGAAGAAGGTTGAGAATCACTGTTCTAGGGTCATATACAGAGCATTTCAGGGATATTTGAAATTGCTATTAGATGGTAATCAACAACACAGATGAAACAAATGTCATCAATGCAAACCCAATCATGTACAAACCCAATAAATTTTTAGCAATCTTTCAAATTCACTCTCTTCTTCAGATGACACCGAAATGCTTCCTGTTCCAAGTTCCAGTTTCGGAAGGATTTGCCGCAAAATAGAAGAACATTGCCGATTCCAGCGTGTGGGCTGTTTAGGTCTCCACTCCATTATTTTATGCTTTAGGGTACTCTCAATCCTGGAGCAAGAATGCAAAGATTATTGTTGACACTTTACAATTCATCTTAAAATACAGTCAGAGGTTTGCAACACAGGGAGGAACCAGGTCTCGACAGTTAGGAGAGCGGCCGTCCTGTGCATTCATCAAGGGCTGCGGGAAAAGCAAGGGGAAGCAGGCGCTTGCTTGACTTGGGAAGGCAAGAAGCTTCCCTGGGTCGCCAGCCTTCTCAGTCCCCTCTGTGTGGGCAGCTGCCTCCATGGTATTATTTGTGAACACCTACTAACTTATTGGAGCCACTGGGCAGTCCAAACAGTTAATGTACTTGGATACTAACCACAGGGTTCATCTTTCAAAACTCACCCCCTGTGGGTTTCCAAGACTGTAACTGTTTACAAGAGTAGAAAAATCCAGTCTTCCTCCCTCAGAACTGCTTGGGGTTTCGAACTGCCAACTAATGCATAACCACTATGCCAGCAGGGCTCTTTAAGGGTTCATCTAGAGGCAGCTTAGAAGAAAGCTCTTGTAATCCCTTCTGAAAAATCAGCCACTGAAAAACCTATGGAGCAAGTCCTATTCAGACGCACGTGGGATTGCCACGACTTAAAATCAACTTGACAGCCACTGGTTGTGGTGGTGGATTATTTTAATACTTGATTGACGTTCCTGATCTCCAAGACTTTCATTGATCACAAGACATTGTGTTTCTAAGAAACTGCCTTCACAAAGAGTCAGATATCTGGCTTGGGAGGATGACAGGAGGGATGAGTTTACTAAATCAGTTAACACAGCAAGGAGAATTGGGAAGGAATGAGGCACCATGCTGATGAGTTTCAGAATCAAACTCCCCCTACTGGATTGTAAAGGAGTGCTGATAGTATAATGGGCTAAGCATAGGACTGCTACCACAAGGTCATCAGTTCAAATCCACTAGCCGCTCCATGGGTGAAAGATGAGGCTATCTCTTCCTGTAAAGATTCCTAGACTCAGAATCCCGAAGACCCAATTCTACTCTACACCATGACCAGTCAAAATGAGGTCAGGAGCTGATAACAGATCAGTTGCTCACATGTAAGTTCAAGTTGAAGCTGAAGAAAATTAGAACGAGTTCATAACAGCCAAAATATGACTTCGAGTAAATCCCACCTAGATTCAAGAACATCTTAAGAACAGACTTGATTCATTGAACACCAGTAACAGAAGATCTGATGAACTGTGGGATGATATTAAGAATACCATACAGAAAAAAACAAAAGGTCATGAAAAAGACAAGAAAGACAGACCAACGTGGGAGTCAGAAAAGAGGAAAGATTGAACTGTCAAGGATTTTGTCTTACTTGGATCTACAATCAATGCACATGGAAGCAGCAGTCAAGAGATCAAATAAAATGTTTAGTGGGCAAATGTGCTGCACACCACCTCTTTAAAGTGTTGAAGATAAACAGAGTCACTCTGAAGATTAAAATGTGGCTGACCCAAACCATAGCATTTTCAACCACCTCATATTCCTGTGAAATATGGATACTGAATAAGGGAGACTGAAGTCTTGGTGCATTTTAGTAGTGATATTGGTGAAGAACATTGACAGTACTGCGAACTGCCAGAAGAGCAAGTAAATCTGCCTTGGACAGAGTATAGCCATAAGGCTCCTTGGAACCAGGCTGGTGAGACATCATCTCACTTTGGACACACCATCAGGAGAGACCAATCCCTGGGAAAAGACATCATGTTTTGTAAGGTGGGAAAAAGAAGACCCTTCATGAGATGCGCTGAGACAGTGGTGCCACCATGGGCTCAAACATAACTCAAAGTCTGAGGAGAGGGCAGCGCTTTGTTCTGTTGCACACCAGGTCCAGAGGAATCAGAACTAACTCGATGGCAATGACAACATGAGTTGGCCTCGAGGCCATGGCAGTGAGTTTGGTTTGGGTTTGGTTACTAGAACACAAGAACCCCAAGGGCAGGGTGTTCCACAGGGCTCCACAGTCCATCAGACGGAGAGTGCCCAGTGGTTAATTGTGTTGGGAAAGGGAGAGAAGGGTGCTGCACTGTGGGGTACTTGCTGGGACCTCTCTTCTGTGCAGGATGACTGGGTATGCTTGAGTCTCCAATTCTGCAGAAGTTGCCCTTGGGAGTCTATTTTGACAGAGCGTATGGAACAAGTATGTGGCTTGATGTGCAGAGTCTCAGTAATAGTTATGCATCAGCATCAGCTATTGGACTTTATAAAAAATGTTTCTTGATATTGATTCAACAGTTTGGTCTAGGGCCCTGGCACCTGGTTTTGTTTTGTTTTTTAAGTTCTAGACACAGTCCTGATAAAAACCAGACAATGGGAATCACTTCTCTATTGCATTTCCTCCCTTTTCCCCCTTTTGGTTAAGAACTGAAAAAATAGAGGAGAAATGAAAGTTGTGTCTTTGCAAGAGGTGGGAGGGGCAACGTGATTTCTGTGGTGCTGTTGTGATTAGTTGCCAGGTAGCCTGCTGTGTGTTAGTCGAAGGAGGCAGCCTTATCTAGACTCCTCTAACATATTTGCAATAGTCTTGAGGCCTGCCTTGACTGAACAATCCATTAGGTGTGTGTATGTGTGTGTGTTGGCTCAGGAGTGTTTCCATCATCCAACTTTTTTTAAGCACCTCTGAATTGTGGGCCATTCACTGTCACATCCTTTTATTTTTTTTTCATAATTTAGATAGCTGTTTAATTTAATTTTATACTAACACATGAATTTACCAATGACAAAACACCCATGAAGAGAAAAGTTCTAGATATTCATCATGGTTATGAATCCAGTCAAACTCCATCCAACTGTGTACCTGAGTCTGATCACAAATACGAGCAGTATGGAGCCTACTAGAAACAGCACAGCAGTATTTTACAAAATGACATGACTTGAACCTTCTTAATTTAACAAAGAGGCAATCTATCAAGTTCTCTTAAGAGTGTATTTATATGTGGATTTTAACTTGAATTACTGGCAGGCAATAATGGTAATTGCCGCCTCTTATCCAGATAGCTTATTTTAAAAGACGGTAACCACTGCACCATTATCACTGCTAGGAACTCAGCTGGTGTCTGTGTTGATTGCGGCCCTCCAGTGGCAGGCAGTGCTTTCCAGAGGCAACTATTTCTAGCGTATACTCTGCTTGCAAGGAGAGATTAAGGAGAGGATGTGGTGATGGTAATAGATAAATAAAGTCCATACCTGCTCCTTATGTCTTCTACCATGCTTTTATCCGTGTCTGAATAAATTATTTCTGTAGGCTGAAATAGAGACAACTGAAATTTAAGATAGATTCTAGGGAGATGGTCTTTATGGCACTTTACCCCTACTAGGCTATTTCTGAATGAGGGGAAACCCAAACCAGTCTCAAGTGGCAAAAATACTCGATCACATAAGTCAAACATACCAAGGGCTGCAAAAAGTTTGTGGACAAATGGAATGAAAAGATCATGGCATTTTCCCACAGACGTTCTGAAGACCCATTGTAGATGGCAATGCTTCCTTTGACTTCAGTACGCACAAGGGCTGAGGAAGTGCTAGTTACAAAGGAAGACATCGTTCCCATGTAAGACAGACTGGCTGCCTTGAGTAGCCAAACAAGGGTTGGCCACCTCATCTTGAGAGGAGCGCTAGTCTCTTCCACTCACTGGGTGACCTAGGTGAACTTCCTGAACTTCTCTCAGGACCAGGTCCCTCATTTTTAAAAGGGGTAACAACACTACCTGCTTTTCACAGGAATCTTGTGAAGATTTTGAAATAAAGTAAAACACATACAGCCAGGGACACAGTGAATTTTCTATAAACATCATAGATTCATCTTACTCTTCTAACATCGATTGGGAGTCCTGATGGCCCAGTGGTTATGTGTTGGGCTGAGATCCACAAGTCAACAGAGAAAGATGGGAGGGTTTGCTCCATCACCAGTGACAGTGTTGGAAACTCACAGGGGAAGTTCTACCCTGTCCTATAAGGTTGCTGTGAGTCGGCACCAACTCGATGGCAGTGAGAGAGTGAGACGGGGAGTATCAGCTTCCCTCTGAGGGCTCCCTTTCTTTCACCAGGATCCTGGAGTTTGAGTGTATGTGCACACATGTGCCAGCATATGCTTTTACTGGGGCACAGAGGATTTCATTGTGGGAGTACCCCACAACTCATGCATTGTTTCCCACAGTTCTCTATCAAGTGATTCTATAACCAACACTGTTGCACGTGCCTTCCTATGTGTGTGCATAAGGTCCCCAAAAGCACAGTCAAAAAGTTGAATTGGTACATCAGTTGGCGCATCACTAACTTTACCAAAAACGGTCATATTGCTTTTCTAGTCATAGAGGCCCTGTATCATTTTGATGTATCTTTGCAGACATTTTGTATGAGGAACACTTTTTTCTTAGCATCCAAGTCAGACAAAAACAGACGGCAAATTCATGGACCATAATTATACATATTGCGTTTAATTTCTCCTTATGTAAATACCTGTGTGTGCTGTGATTTATTTATTCACCTACTTTCCCCCTCCTTCCCTTGTCTTCCCCTTCCCTGCCTCCCCATAGTCATTAAAACCTACTTCTTTTGGTGTGAAAAACCAGTTTTCCTTTTTGTTTGTGTTTTTATAACAGTATTTGGCTTAATGGAACTGCTAACTTGGCTGAGTGCAATGTCTTCCAAATTTATCCATGCAGAGATGCATCCGACAGTTTCATCATCATTCTTTAAAGATGCAGGGCATGCCTTTGGATGCATGTTCCCAAGTTCATTTCTCCATCCCTCCTGAGCTGGGCCCTCTGTTCCATCTCGTTGCGAGTGCGACAGCACCGCGATCAGCCTGGGCATGCAGGCAGCTGCTGGCGCTTCAGCCTTCGTTCTTTGGGGCATTGCGGAGAGGAGAGATTGCTGAGTCACATGGCATTTCTACTCCCTTTTGTTTAAGGGTCTGCTTCTACACATTGTCTTTTGCCTACTCTTCTGTTATTCTTTGTCTCTCTCACTCTCTCTCTGCTCACAGTGCTTGGTTTATGTGTTTTGTGATTGTCTTCACCCTGGCGTCTCAGGGTCCTCAATCCAGAAACAACAATAGGGGCGCCTGGGAGCAACTCCTTCAGGCCTCTGGGAGGTTGTCACAGATCCACTGGCACAGTCATTTGGTGGTTTGATTGTTTCCGGTCTCTGACCGGAGCTTTCACCTTCTGCCTCCCAAGCAGTGACTCTCCAGCTTCCCTCTCCATACCCTTGCCCCACACCCCCACCTTTAAGAGCTTCTTTTGAAAACATGAGAACTGGGGAGTGGTTCCCTGCCTTTTTTTTTTTTTAGGAGGTGTGTTTCTGATGTTCTTTATTTAGCTAGAGGGCATTGACATAAAATTTAGATTTTCATTGTTAGCAACAAATAAAAGTTGTTTTAAAGATGGTAGCCATAAAAATGTTGCAGAAACAAAAAGGTCAAAAGGTATGTGTAGAATTAAGCACTATTTTCTTATAGTAAATCGATACCAAAAACCACAATTACAAGGATGAATTCATAGCAGTCCATCATCAGAATTAGTTCCCTGCCTTTCATGAACTGTTTTTAGGCCTTTCTCACACCTCTGCATCAGCCCCACTCCCTGCAGTGTTAGTCCAGGAAGCACTCTCAGAGCTGGGGACTCCAAAAGCTCTCTCGTTTCTCAGTCTTTTCACTTTATCCTTACCATGCGGCACAAGGACTAGGTCAACGTGCATCAATCCCACAAAGCCTACCCTGAACCTTCCCCCCCACCCCCGTTTTATGATTAATTTTTGCTTTTTAATTTAATTTGGGATGACAGATTCTTCTCAATCCCTCTTTTCTCCAGATAGAGGAAAGTGACCAGATAGTAGAGAAAACTAGTATTATTTATTTGTCTTCTTAAATCGCATTTGCCGAGGGACCATCGATACAAACAAGGCTGCCACCAACAGCAGCCCTATTCAGACGCCCTTTGGACTCAGGACTGACCTGTATGCTCTGTGCTTTTGTCCCTTGAGAATCATTTGGAAGCAAGTGTTTCCAGAAATTCTCCTTTGAGTAGTCAAAATGTACAGCCATTGGGGTGTTATTTTGCTGAATATTAAACCAAACCTATGAAAACAGGGATACAAAATCAGTGTAGGCCCAGGGGAACACAAGGCTCATGGATCATAAGGAGGGAGCAAAATCATACAGTTCTACTATCCAACAAAGACGTCCTGGTGCGCAAGGCTAGGCACTTGCTGATAACTGAAACGTTGGTGGTTCGAGTCCACCCAGCGACTCCATGAGAGCAAAGACTCGGTGATCTGCTCCGGTAGAGACTGCAGCCGGGAGGGCCCCATGGGCTTATTCTCCTCTGTCCCACTGGGTGCTATGATCCAGGAATCCACTCCACAGCACCCCACGGCAACAACAGTGACACGGCCCAACAGTATGACGGGGACCACGCAGGGCTACATGGCAGTATGACCACGCAGGGGACCACCAGGGCTACGTGGCAGGCGGCTTATGAGAACATGAGACCACCGCATTGGCTCTCATTCCAAAATCACATAGCGAGTTTCAGAGATTAAAAAAATTGCTTTGGCCCTGTGTCGCAGGGAATCCTGATTCTTGCCCGCCCCCACTCGCCCCCCCACCTCAAGCTCTCCAGATACTTCTGATGTGCAGCAGGGTGACAACCACTCGTTTGACTCTTGAGATCATTCAAAATGAGGTTTGTCTCCATATACTTACATTTCCATCATCAAACAGACAGTCGACACTCTGTAAGGGACAAAATGGGTCAAATTGCTTATGACATTGCCCAGTCAGCGGATTCCAAAGCAAAAATTCATCCGTTTCCTGAGTTAACACATAAGCCGCACGTCCCTGTATGATGAAACAAAAAAATTTTAAGTCTTTTTGGTGAGTAATTAACTCATTTCTGTGTTTTTCTAATTTTCCTGTTCATACATTTTTTTAGTGTATACCATTCTTAGTATAAAATGTAGAAAACTTCAGGTAAAAATAATGCTAAGACTAATACCAGGGATGTCCTAAACATTCATATTAACTTTCTCACTTAGCTCACTCCCAATTCTGAGTCAGTGAAGGCTGATTGAATGCTTGTCTTTCACATGAAGAATCAGAGGTTAAGGGACTTGCTCAGGGGAATAGTAATCCTGGTTTTGAAAGGAGATCCTGACTCTCAGAGAAGTATAAATAATAAATACTATAAATATAACGTTGTTAGTGATGGTCCTAGGTTTTGAACCGTTATCTGACGGATATTCCAAACTGATATTCCTAACACTGTGCTATGTATTCTGCTCGATCTAACTCCACAGCTCTTGCTATTTATCATGATACTGACCACTTTTTATAATAAAGAAGACGGCTTCACCTCGACCTGGTTGTTGTTATTAGGGGAGTTATGTCATGGGGTCAGTTCAGACTCACAGTGATACTAAGTTCAACAGAACTAAGTCCTGCATCATTATCGTCAGTGCTGCTATATTTGAGCCCGTTGTCACAGTAACTGTGCCAGCCTCTCTTCCTGGGAGTCTTCCTGTTTTTCACTGACCTCTGCTTGGTCAAGCGTGACGTCCTTCTCCAGGACCTGGTCCCCCTGACAATGTCCGAAGGATGGAAGGTAAATCTTGCCATGCTCACGTCCAAGGGGCGTTTTGGCTGTCATTCTTCTCAGAGATTTGCTTGTTCTTCCGGTGGTCGATGCTATATGCAATATTCTTTGCTAACACCGTCATTCAAAGACATCAATGATTTGATCTTTGTTCACTGCCCAACTTCGGCATGCACATGAGCTTGAAAATGCTATGGCTTGTGTCAGGAACACCTTCCTACTCTAAGGGACATTGAAAGAAGCCTTTGCCACAGATTTGCCCAATGCACCATGTTGTTTGATTTCTTGACTGTTGTTTCCGTGAAGGTTGATGGTGGATCCATGTAAAATGAAATCCTTGACGACTTCAAGCTTTTCTCCATTTACCATGATGCTATCTACTGGTCCAATTATGAGGATTTTTGTTTCCTTTAGGTTGGGGTGCTATTAATACAGAAGTCTGCCGTGTTTTATCTTTATTATTAAATGCTTCAAGTCCTCTTGGCTTTCAGCAAGCAAGGCTGTGTCATCTGCATATGTTCACGAATCTTCCTCCAATCCTATCGCCATGTCTTTCATGTAGTCCAATTACTTTGATTACTTGCTAAGCTACAGATTGGATAAGTATGGTGAAAGGATACAACCTTGATACACACCTTTCCTGACCTAAAACAGAGTAATTCCTTATTCTGTTCCAACAATTGCCTCTTGATCTATGGACAGGTTCTGCATGAATACAGTTACGTGTTCTGGAATTTCCATTCTTTGCAATAAAATCCACAGTTTGTTATGACTCATAGAGTTGGATGTCCTTTCATAGTCACTAAAACACAAGCAAACGTTTTCCAGTATTCTCTTGCAGCCAAGGTCAATATGGCATCAGCAATGATATCCCTTATTTCATGTCCTCTTCTGAGTCTGCCTCGAATTTCTGGTAACTGCCTGTTAATGTACTGCTGCAACTATTTTTGAATTAGTTTCAGGAATTTTTTACTTTTATGTGGTGCTGTTTGATAATTTCTGCATTCTGTTGGCTTATTTTCCTTTGAAATGCACACAAATATGTCTCTTCCAGTTCTTGAACATAGTGCAGCTAAAGTGAATGGAACAGAAGTAAAGCTAAACAGAAGATTTCACAGGTCAGCTAGAGAAGACCAAGGAAACGTGCTGTAATGAAATGTGCAAAGACCTGGCATTGAAAACGAAATGGGAAGAGCAGACGTGGCATTTATCAAGCTGGAAGAACTGCAGGGGAAAAAATGTAAGGCTCAAGTTGAAATACTGAAGGATTCTGTAGGCAAAATATTGACCAAGGCAGGAAGAGTCAAAAGACTAGAGGGGTGGGGGGAAGGAGAGAAGGGGAAGCAACAGCCTAGAGGGAACACAGGTGCGGACTTGGGGGAAGGGAAGGTAGTAGCCCACAAGCTAGAGATGGGCCAAAACGGAG